CTTCGGGACGCAGAAGCGATCTGGCGACAGGTAAGTCGCCAGGATCGCTTCTGTTGTAAAGCCGACAGTCGGCTCTACAAGTTTAAACAGAGTCCCGGCGGCAAAAGTCACCGGGAGTCTGTTTAAACAGCCCCGATGCTGGCGACGTACACTGTACGTCGTCAGTCACGAAGGGGTTAATTATGGTGCAACTGAAGCCAAATCTTTTTTACTTTAGTTTTGGATAGAGTGGAGAGGGGTTAGAACACCTGCCATGCTTTTATTGCTGTCTATGTCCCTATTATGGGGATTCACCCTCTCTATTTGTCCTGGTGTCAGTTATCACTGAAAGTGAAAGAAAATCCCAGATGTTGGGTTGTCATCAGAACAGGATTAGATGGGAAATATTCCAATGGGGACACTAGTTTTGATGACCCTGCTGACCGCCAGGATTTCCTTCAATTTGGAGGGATTTCCTCTAACTTCCTATTGTGGCTATCAGGCAGGAAGTGAAGGGAAATCTCCCCAATTGAACACAGATGGCAAACAACAAAGTAACAGGGGTTATAAACCTCCCTTACTCTACTCAAAACTACAAAAGAAAGGTTTTGGCTGGAAAAGGTGAAAAGGACCAGATTCTAGCTTAAGCATTTCACTCGGGTATTTTGCCTTGTGATGAATTATTTTTAAGATGGTAGCCACTTTTAAGGGCCCATTCACACTAGTGCAATGCGTTAATCGTACAGTTCAGAGTCCTTAACGCACCTGCCATGGTTTAAAGGTGCGGGAGATGTGCTGCGTAGCCATTCATTCGAAATGCACCCAAATGCACTTCCCAACTGCAATGTGATTGAGTGCACCACAATGCGCAGTACCGTAATATCGTGCAGTGTGATTAAAAAAGTAGTGCATGCGATACTGCGCATTGCCGCTGAGAGGTGCGTTTGGGGTGCCATTCAAATGAATGGCAACCCAATGCACCTCCTGCACTGTTAATGCATGGTAGGTGCATGGGGCATTATGGTGGTTTTATTGCACAGAACCATGTGATTAACGTATCGCACTAGTGTGAATGGGCCCTTAATGTGGCTACCAGCTTAAAAAGAATTCATCACAAGGCAAAATACCTGAGTGAGATGCTTCAGATAGAATCTGGTCCTTTTCACCTTTTCCAGCTTCCCACTGTTCTGGAAAGTCTGTTGTTTACACACCTCAATAGATCAAGCTAAAATCTAAACACAAATGGATACCTGATCATCAGTGACTCCTCTCTCATTTGACAGCTAAGCCTGAAGTTTCAATCAGATAAAATATATTTATTTTGTGTAACAAAAAGCGGGCAGTTTGGATCTTTGAACAACCCATAGTACACTTGAACCCTTTCTCTTATACTAAATGTTAATATGAAGATTGTATATACTGTTGATAATAGAACAAGGTATAAAATACAGTTTAAGAAGTTACAAACATAAAAAACTAAAAATTAACCTTTGCAGGTCATGTGGAATGCAATCCATATGTCAGGTGCTTGTCCTGATCGGCTCAAAGCAGTTGCTTAGTAAAGGAGCCACAAAAGGCATATTAAACATCGACGGACAAAAACGCAAAGACTCTGGGGAATAAGTAAAAGAATCGGGTATACAGCTCAACAAGCATTGGACAATATCAAATGTGAAAAACTGTTTACATATCAATATTATAACATACCAATATATCAATATGGGAGTCATATTGCTAGACCTGTTAAAAGAGCAAACTACTTAGTAAAAATAAATAAAATGTTTCCCGTAGCATGCACTCAAACTGTTCAAAGGCAGATCATGTGACACCGAGGTATACTGAACATGTCCGTGGAGCAATCCTTATATCCTCCAATCACAGGTTAGCTCTGGCTTTAGCAGTGCACCTGTTAGTATAGTTTGTATCACATCAAATGTTTTGGGATTATGCTTAACTGACAGTTCTGTCATTTCTAGCTAGGGAAGGTTTATGGCGTGGAGTCATACGTCTTGTCGCCAGCAGAGACTAAGGACTTGTACCCGCTCATGAATGTGGACGATCTCTACGGCACCCTGTATGTTCCAAAAGATGGGACCATGGACCCAGCGGGCACCTGTACCACCCTGGCCAGAGCATCCACGGCTAGAGGCGCACAGGTAAGAGGTTACATTATGCTGTTCAAGAAAGGACAGCAGCGTCTGGAAGACTAGAGCAGTAGTTATTAACACTGAGACATCTAGTATGTGAGAGGCTGTGTGAGTTAAATTAGGGATTTAAGTATTGGTCTGCACAAGGAGCTGCTTCTCTCATGAGGCTAGCCTCCTACTGGTAATTTTAAAAAAGGGTTTTAACACTGAACTCCAGGCAAACCACTAAATACACAGAAGGGATACATATAAGGGAGCTGTTTTGCCAGACAGATTATTTGTATTTCTGTCCATCCAGTCCTGAGATTTAGAAAGCCTTGACAGACAGCACAGCCAGGTGGATGACAACACTTATGGTTAAAAAATACAGTTGTGTCCTTTCTCCACCCACAACTTGCTGACTGAACAGTAGAAGAGCAGCAGCATACTGACAAGGTCATGTCCGTGCTCTCTCCTCCTAACACACCCATTCTGTTCCTCTCTTCCCCTCTCCTAATCTAAGTGCTGCTGTACAGAACTACAGGAGTCTGATACCAAGTCAAATTCATGGAACTTACCCTGCTTGTATTTAAAATAGATTTAATTATTTTTTTTAATGAATACAGAGCTGCATTAATTGTAATATTTTCTATTCTCCTGGAGTTCAGCTTAAAGGTGATTTAAAAAAACATTCCACTATGGAATATCTTCAGTTTAATTCAAGCCACACTTTTTTGTTTTATTTCACATTATTGTAGTTTCTTTTGCCCCTAACAAACAAAACACATTTTGTAGCCCTGGCAGGGGGATACTGTGACAATCTACTTTCTTAGGTCATTGAAAATTGTCCGGTGACTGGAATACAAGTAAAAACAGATGATTCCGGTGTAAGAAGGGTTGCGGCGGTGGAGACGGAGTACGGCACAGTGCAGACACCCTGTGTGGTGAATTGTGCAGGTACTGGAACTTCCATAAAGAAAAAAACAGTTGTAAGTTTGTTTCCTTACAGCTGCCCACACTTGTCACAATCTGATTGTATGATCTACCAAGTTTAGAATGGATTGTGCAGAATTCTACGTGTGTGGTCATACCTAAGATCCAGTTCAATGTATTCATAAACTGCAATAGGGGTTTATATGAAAAAGTGATTGAATTAGCTGGGCATGATTTTCATTCACCCCAACCAGATCTGTGACCGCATACTTTATAATCTCTTGTTTTAGTCAGTTGTTTCAGCCTTTATCCAGTACACATTCTGCAGTGATAAGTCTTTAGTCTTTGTTTCTATCAGCTGACATTCTGCAGTCGTCTACAGAAGCATTCCTCCGTATAAATCATAAACGGTCTCGGCTCTATGACGGTTCAAGTTTATGCATAGCCTAAGCTTTTTCTTTTTTACTTTTGGCTAGAGTATGGAAGGGTTAAACTCCATATCAGGTTAATTTTCGCTGTGTGTGTGTACCATTGTGGAAATTCCCATTACTTCCTGTCCCAGAGGTGTAGCAGTTAGAGGAGATCATCCAAAATGAGGGAAATTCTCCACCTAGACAGTTGTTATATGAACAGGTGTCACCATTGAAAGCCTTCACCTCACCTGGTGACAACTGTAAAATTTGAGATTTCCCTTCACTTTTTGTCTCTGTGAAATTAGTTACCAGTGTGATGGATGGGCCTGGTCTGAACCCACTGTACATCAATCGCCCGTATTGTGTCGATACCACTCTCAACCTCACCCTGCAACTGTTTCCCAGTTTGCGGGACAACAATCTCAGGCCAGCAGACTGAGAGCAATCGTCACTAGGGTTGGTTAACTCGGCAGTTAACCCTTTACACACCTAAGTTATCGCTGCCACCACATGTTTCACGGAACACGAACTGATCTCAGCAAGAACTGTGACACTTCCTACAACTTAAGGTTTCACTACGCAGTAGCACTCTTCACAGAGGCAAGGATACTTTAAGTTCTTATGTAGAGCGTAGAGATATGCTTAACAATTTTTAAGATCTTCCTTTAATAAAGGAAATGGCGCAGAAAAATATACAGAAAAAGATATTCATAAAGAGAGACAAATATATAACAACAGTAAAATAAAAAGGAATAAAAAGAGAGTAGTTAACAGCCCAGGGTCTAGGAGTTCTGACAGTCCAGTTCACTAAATAAAATATGGGTCTGAAAGGCTCTTCTCCAGGCAGGGCTTGCACAGATTCTTTTCTGATGTTAAAGGGGCACTCTCTTTGGAGCTTTGGTGTTACTAGCTTCTTGATGTTGCGAAGGTCCCTTCTTCATGATGTTAAAACAAGAGCCTCCCTAGCTGTCTCTGCAGCCTTATTTTGTCAGCCCTCTAGGGGGTGGCAAAGAGCCGGCCCATAAGGCAGGGCTGTGGAGAGGGAGCAGGAGGGCTAAGTCTTTACGATGTCCTTCTCCTCCTCCCAAATTGTCAACTTTCATATCTAAGATTTTAGTGAAATATTGATGCACAATACTGTCTGACAACCCCTAAACTATTATGTGTCATGAAAGTAGCTTTACATTAAGGCCAAACTTGCCATATATATGAATTATGTTTGGTCCACGAGGATTAATGGGGCTTGTCAAGCCTCTGACCATCATAACATGTCCATGCTTGGTTATGTATGGCTTTGTGTTGACGAGACACAGCTATTTGTGCCATTAATTTTACAATATCACTCTCCAATTCCAAGTTATAAAATTGCGGTGATAATGTAACATTTGGTTAATGGCTTAGGGTGAATACAAGGTCACCGGGGTAATTATCCTTATTAGGCCCTCTTGTGTTTCCCTTTCTGAGAACTTTTCAGAAATAGCCACAGGTTGAGGGAAACGCATCATTATTATTGTTATTATTAATAATCCTTTTATATCTTCTAGGGGTCTGGGCCAGAAGCCTTGGACACATGGCCGGAGTGAACGTCCCCCTGGTTGCTATGCACCATGCCTACGTAGTGACAGAGAGGATAGAGGGAATACAGGTCTTGCACGCACTTTATTTGTGTCCTCTCGTCCTAGTTTTGCCTCCTGTGAGAAATATGAGTTGTCATCATGTCAACACGCCAGCAAATACACTGCTCATTTATGTTAAAATATGACCAGAGACGCACTTTTAATTAGGACAATACATTATTGCTTGGCCATTTGTCATCACCCACAAGGCACTTGAGGCAAAGTGGTAGCCATGCTTTCAGAATTATAGAGGGCAGGCAGAAGACAGACAGACAGACATACAGGAAAATGTCCCACATGGAAGGACAGAGTAAAGAAAAGAGTGAAATTAAAGCCTAACACCAACCACAATTTTTTTTTTCCATTGTGTATGGAGTCAGGAAACCCTGTCAGGTTTTTATAGCTGCCTGTGTCCCTACTGGAAAGATCTGCCATCACTTCCTGTCCTGGCTTAGTGTCACCAGAATGAAGAGTGATGCAATGTCTCTCTTATGGGGACAGAAACAAGTACAGATGTAGATTAATTTAATAGATTGAGGAGGTGCTGGCGTATCTGTCAGGTTTTTATTGCTCTACCACATTTTTTGACCTGGTGTCACAGAACAGGAAGTGAGGGAACATCACCTAT